ATGCCTGCACCTTGGCACCAGAGAGAAGGAAAACCAAAAGAGCCTGAGAAACAGAGTAATGTGCAGAAATAGAAAGAAGCAGGTGAGTACAGAGTTCTAGTGAGCAGTGATGTAGGTGTTGGTGAGAGAAGGGGGCCCAGAGGATGCTAGGTAAGCAAGTGTTAGGCTTCCTTACAGAGCTGTAGAGTTGGCTACAGAGTTTGGTCCTTACAAGTTTGCCAGTGTTTCTGAGAAACTCTAATCAGGGATCTCAAAGAGGTTGGGGTGAAGGTAGGGTGCACGCTAGAATTGCCTATAGAATATCAGAGTTGAACTCTACATACCAGAAATAGTGTCCTTCCCTTCTGGAGGTTCAGATGAAAAGTGGGTGTGTGGAACACTTATCAAGCCAGAACTCATATGTGATCCAGTTTTAAGACTGTTATGGTTACCAAAGCACAAAGAAAATTTGAAAATAACACTTTCTTTCTTTCTTTTTTGCAGTACTAGGCTTTGAACCAGGGTCTTGTGCTTGCTAGGTAGGCGCTCTACCATTTGAGCCACCCCACCAGACCTGAAAACAACATCAAACTTTCATTGCATTTTCTTGAAAGTCATGAAGGAGGTCCATAGTTTGCAATGTCGTATTCAAAAGTCATCATCTTCATCTTCCTTAGCAGCCTGTTTTCTCTAGTGTAGCCCTCTCCACAATTTCTTCAACTTGTAGCAACTCTCCTCTTCCTCCCAACTTAGCCTGTCTTTCCAGCAAAAGGATCCAACCAACTTACTTCCCCAATCCAGCCCCAAGTGATCTAGAAAATGAAACTTTTAGAAGAGAGGGAAAATTGAGTTGGGAATTGCAGAATATTTTTCAGCAAGTTGGGAAAGGGAAAAGTATGAATTTTCTTACCTTGTCCCTGGTATTCTGCAAAGCTTTCCAAGTGATTCTGATATCTGGTCTCTTTTGAGAGCAACCACTCTTAACCAAGACAGAAAGCCTTTTGATTTCTTGAAAAGTCTTATTTCCTGGCAAGTTTCTCCTTGCAAAGTGTGTTCTTCTTTCTGCATGAGGCTCAGAAAGAGGTGTCACTGTAGGAGTGGACATGTCACCTGTCCCAACCAAGTCCATAAAGTGCCATGCTAGTAACAAATGACCAATAACATCTAGCTGAGCCCTGTCCCACCCCCATAAAGATTTCTGGCCAGACTGGTTCTAACTTCAATAAGATCTTGCTGAAGCAGGAGTGTGACTTTGGAGGGTCCAGCTGCCTTCCCGACTGGAGCACCTCTGAGAATGATGCTTTTCCACCTCTCTGAGTTACTTTGGTGGGGCTGTGCCAGCTGCTGTGCAGATCCAGGAGGAGCCAGCCCCGAAGATCTGAGCGCTTGGGAATGCAAGTCCACAACCAGTCCAGCAGGACATTCATACGGGCAGCTGATCTTAGCCTTCATCCAACTGGCTTGGGTGTCCCCTAAAGGTCAGAGTTGCACCCTACTGATCCAAGCCCTCGTGGTTCTTCAGACTCCAAACATTTTGAAAAGGTTCTCTGACTTTCACCCTTCCCACTTCATCACTCAGCCCCTCCCTATGGCCAAGGATTCACATCAAAGTTGGAGATGAGAAGGCCTCCAACACCAGTGCTAATCTACCCTCTTTTTAAAAATATCTCCGACTTGAGGGAGGCTATCCTGGGCTGTTTCAACCCTATTTCAGAGTAATTCCTCTGCTCCTTCAAACCTGTGTTCAAAACTGCGTCAAATGAAGTTTTTGCAGACAAACTCCAGGGACAGCTCCATTCACCCCTGACATACAGCTGCTAAAGAACAGCGACCCCTGCATTCAGAAGGGAGGAGAGAAAAATGATTAAATGGAGACCTCCTTTCAGAGGTAATCACCTGTAAAGTCTGGTGCCTTTTTTGCTAGCCTTGGAATCCTAAAGGGGTGGCTTATCTTCATGCCCTCAACATGAATAAAGCAAACACACAGTAACAATAAAAATCACATGTGGAAAGTCAGGCCTAGTGGTGTATGCCTATAATCCCAGCACTCAGAAGGTGAGACAGGAGGATTTCGAGTTCAAGGACAGCCTGGGCAACATAGAGACCCTGTCTCAAAAACAAAACAGGATGACAGCAGTGGTTCATACTTGCAATCCTACAATCCTTGTTACTCAGGAGGTGGAGATGAAGAAGATTGCTGTCTGAGGCCAGTCCTGGGCAAAAACTCAAGACTCTATCTGAAAAATAACTAAAGCAAAAATGAGTTGAGGGGCATGGCTCAAGTTGTTGAGCACCTGCCTAGCAAGCATGAAGCCTAATACCACTAAAAATAAAAAATAAAAAATGTGAAAGCCACATGTGAAATCCAAAACTCTCCCCTGAACTGTGAGTTCATTTTTGCATCCATGGTCACAACACACATATGGCTGTATGCATACAGCCATACATAATTATACATAATTATTTACAGAACATTGCTTTACGTACATAGCCATGCCTTTTCAAGAATATAAGTAACATAGGTAAAACCATGACCCTCCATTCATTCCTCTGGGCATGGGTCTACCGCAGGATTTCAATTAAGAGGTATTGTCATCTTTGTGTAGCTTCTTTATTGTGTTCTTCTGTGCAGCACAGGTCTATGAACTCTCCTGTCTTGTGACTTGTCTACCTTCTGTGCCTCTGTGTCTCTTTCTCCGCCTTTGACCACCAGATGGCATCCTGGAAACACTCCCAGTACTATAGCTTTCCACTGTTCTCCCCACAGGACTCTCAACTGGCCCCTCCTTCTTCTCTGCTCCTTTCCAATCCATTTTCCAGAATGCAGCCCAAGGAGCTTTCCACAGGGCAACTCTGAAGGTGCTAGGACAAGTTACCTAACCCTCTGTGCCCAGCTTCTTCAACCAGTTGGCTTGGTTGTGAGGGTGGCACAAGAAGATGTGGGTAAAGCACTCAGGCCAAAGTCTGGCATGTCACTTTTGTTCTCCTTATCCTGCTTTGAGCCTTTCAAAAGCTCCACAGGGGCTTCAGGACAAGTTTCAAATCTTTAGTATGGGACCTCAGGCCCTCCATCAAAAGAGGTACTAGGGTTTGAACTCAGGGCCTCATGCTTCCTAGGCAGGCACTCCACAGCTTGAGCCATTCCCCCAGCCCTGTTTTGTGTTGGGTATTTTCGAGATAGGGTCTCATGAACTATTTTCCAGGGGCTGGCTTTGAACCACCATCCTCCTGACCTCTGCCTCCTGAGTAGCTAGAATTACAGGCGAGAGTCACCCCCACACGTGCCTTATCTCTGCTTTTGTCCCCAGTTTCATCTTCCTCTTCCCCACTCTATTGCATAAACTCTCTTGTAGGCCACAAAGAGCCAGCTTGCCCACCTTGGGCCTTTGTCCATTCTGCTCCTTCCACTTGCTTTGTCTCTCCCTCCCCTCCTCTAAACTCCCTTCCCTTCCACCCGCTACCTCCTCCCTCTGTCATGATTCAGTGATCACCTTCCTCATGGATTCTCCCCTGAGCCCTAGGCCTGAACCAGAGCTGCTACTCCATCCTTAGCTTAGACCTTAAGCTCCTTGGGGGTCACTTACTGGGTTTCTGTGAGAAGGCTGAGCAACCTGCTGGAGGGGAATGTGAGATGGAAGGAAAGAAAAGACAGAGGGAAACTGAGGGAGTGCACATGGCTGACCTTCAGCCACCCTTGTCTTGATCACTGTGGGCTTCCATGCTAACAAGCCTGAACTGGTGTCACTTGTGTCCAAAGGACATCTCTGATCCCAAGGACTCAGATGCGAACACCCATCTAAGGGGAGCAGACCTTAATTCCCATCACCTCAAATGCTTTACAAACCTCTGGAATCAACCTTCAGGTGAGGCATAAGGCTAAGGGCAAAAAACTGAGGAGGAAACTGAGAAGCAACAAGGCCAGCCCAAAGGTCACCCAAGCAGACTGCCCACTTACCTCCTGCCTCAACCTCACCTGTGTGAGGAGGCCAATGGGAGGGAGGAAATACCTCAAAACATCTAGAGACAGTATTGAGGGGCAGCAAGGGAGCTGTTGTTATGGGACTCCCCTAAACCGAAATGGAGAGAGAAGAATCGGAGGAAGAAGGGAAAGATAGACGAAAGGAGAGGAAGGTGTGGGAGAGGGAAATGCACAAAAGTCTCCAAGACAGGAGAGGCTGGGGGTTCCCCAGACAAGGACTCAGGCTGGACCAGATGCAGAGAACAATGGGGCCGGAAGGTAAGGGGGAGGGTAGCCAGTCAGGTCAGACAGGTCCTTGAAACTTGTCAGCTTGAGCAAGGACTGCCCCAGTGCCAACATGAAGGCAGCCACAGGTGTCTCTCCAACACTGATGTCACTACATGGGATTCAGGGCCAGCCCAGACCCAGGCCTCTCATTCGTCATTTCATTTTACCTTCACGATTTCCAGGAGAGAGGGCTACTATTCTGACACCTGCCCCCTCTCTGAAGATGAGATAATGGAGGCCCAGATAGGTTAAGTGACTTGTCCCAGATGACTCAGCTGGTAAGTTGCAAAGTCAGGATTTGAACCCAGCTCTGGAAACTTTTTGGTTAACTACAGCTGCTTCCCAGTGAGACAAACACAGGTGATCAAGGCAGAGTCAAGACTAAGAGGCAAATAAATGTGGGGAAAAGACAGGAATAGGAGAAAGAAGAAAGGGGGAAAGATGGGAACAAATAGAGCTAGATAAGCCAGGGAAGAGAGATGGGGGCCTGACTTGTCCAGGAGGAGCATCAGTCTAGGTGTGTGTAGGTGGGGGCTCAAGTTCTCTGCTCACTTGAGTACATGGTGGCTCCCTGTCCCTCAGCGCTGCCTTGCTGTGTGGACAGCACCTTCCCATCCGGCCTGTCCCTGGAGCCTCATCCTCCTCAGCAGCAGGCCCCTCAGCCTCACAGGAAATGCTCTTTCTCTAATTGGTATTGAAATTCACTGCCCTCCCTTTTCCTGTAGGTGGGGTTTCCATAGGAAAAAGCTGCTTCTCTGTTTCCCCAGCCTAGTAACCATATCCTGCTTTACTGGGTCAAGTCTCTCTTGGACCAGTGCTCGTCTGTCATTGCTAAAGTGGACCAACCGTTGCTGCTGGGGGAGGTAGGCTCCCCTGGCGACTGTACCTCAGTCAGATCAGACCTCTCAGATCACTTCCAATGAAGATGGCTTTTCCTGGGACTCATGCTTGTTCCAGCATCTTCTAATAATGGGACAAGTTTGTGCCTGCAGGTCTGAGGGCAGGAGAACGGGGCTAATCAGGCCATCCAGGAAACACTGGAGGACTTGTCCAGCCTTTGAAGCATTCTAGCAGTTTCTGACCCTTGCCCACTCTGGCGGTAAGCATGGTGCCATTTCTGCAACTTTGGCTGGGGCTCTTGGGGCTAGGTGGCTACTTGTTCCTTTCAGGAGATTGTCAGGAGGTGACCACTCTCACGGTGAAATACCAAGTGACAGAGGAAGTGCCATTTGGAACAATGATAGGGAAGCTGTCCCGGGAGCTGGGCCGGGAGGAGAGGCGTGCACAAAGGGGGGCTGCCTTCCAGGTCTTGCAGCTGCCTCAGGGGCTCCCCGTCCAGGTGGGTGCTGAGGATGGTTTGCTCAGCACGGGGATGCGGCTGGATCGGGAGCAGCTGTGCCGGCAGCGAGATCCCTGCCTGGTTTCCTTTGACGTGCTTGCTACAGGGGACTTGGCTCTGATCCACGTGGAAATTCAAGTGCTGGACATCAACGACCACCAGCCACGGTTTCCCAAAGGTGAGCAGGAGCTGGAAATCTCTGAGAGTGCCTCTCTGCACACAAGAATCCCTTTAGATAGAGCTCTCGATCCAGACGCTGGCCCCAATACCCTCCACTCCTACACCCTGTCTCCTAGTGAGCATTTTGCCCTGGACGTCATTGTGGGGCCTGATGAGACCAAACATGCAGAACTCGTGGTGGTGAAGGAGCTGGACCGGGAAGTCCACTCATTTTTTGATCTGGTGCTGACTGCATACGACAGTGGGAATCCCCCTAAGTCAGGTACTAGCTTGATCAAGGTCAACGTCCTGGATTCCAATGACAACAGCCCTGTGTTTGCAGAGAGTTCATTGGCATTAGAAATCCAAGAAGATGCTGTCCCTGGCACTCTCCTCATAAACCTGACTGCCACAGACCCTGACCAAGGCCCCAATGGGGAGGTGGAGTTCTTCCTCAGCAAGCACATGCCCCCAGAGGTGCTGCACACCTTCAGTGTTGATGCCAAGACAGGCCAGGTCATTCTGCGCCAGCGCCTAGACTATGAGAAGAATCCTGCCTATGAGGTAGATGTTCAGGCAAGGGACCTGGGTCCCAACCCCATCCCAGCCCATTGCAAAGTTCTCATCAAGGTTCTGGATGTCAATGACAATGCACCAAGCATCCACATCACATGGGCCGCCCGGCCATCACTGGTGTCAGAAGCTCTTCCCAAGGATAGTTTCATTGCGCTTGTCATGGCAGATGACTTGGACTCAGGGAACAACGGTCTGGTCCACTGTTGGCTAAATCAAGAGCTGGGCCACTTCAGGCTGAAAAGGACTAATGGCAACACATACATGCTGCTAACCAATGCCACACTGGACAGAGAGCAATGGCCCAAATATACCCTCACTCTGTTAGCCCAAGACCAAGGACCCCAGCCTTTATCAGCTAAGAAACAGCTCAGCATTCAGATCAGTGATGCCAACGATAATGCACCTGTGTTTGAGAAGAGCCAGTACGAGGTGTCCACTCGAGAAAACAACCCACCCTCTCTTAACCTCATCACCATCAAGGCTCATGATGCAGACTTGGGCATTAATGGGAAAGTCTCATACCGCATCCAGGACTCTCCTGTTTCTCACTTAGTAGCCATTGACTCAGAAACAGGAGAGGTCACTGCTCAGAGGTCACTGGACTATGAAGAGATGGCTGGCTTTGAGTTCCGGGTGATAGCAGAGGATTGGGGGCAACCCCAGCTTGCCTCCAGCATCTCTGTGAGGGTCAGCCTCTTGGATGCCAATGATAATGCTCCAGAGGTGATTCAGCCTGTGCTCAGTGATGGAAAAGCCACCCTCTCAGTGCTTGTAAATGCCTCCACAGGCCACCTTCTGGTGCCCATTGAGACTCCAAGTGGCTTGAGTACACCACCACTGTCCACTCACAGCTCCCGGCCATTCCTTTTGGTGACCATTGTGGCAAGAGATGCAGACTCGGGGGCAAACGGAGATCTCCTCTACAGCATTCGAAGAGGTAATGAAGCCCATCTCTTTGTCCTCAGCCCCCATCTGGGACAGCTGTTCATCAATATCACCAATGCCAGCAGCCTCATTGGGGGTGAGTGGGAGCTGGAGATAGTGGTGGAGGACCAGGGCAGTCCCCCCTTGCAGACCCAGGCTCTGTTGAGGGTGATGTTTGTTACCAGTGTAGACCACCTAAGGGACTCTGCCTATGAACCAGGAGTCCTGAGTGCATCAGTGCTGACAATGATTTGCCTGGCTGTTCTGCTGGCCATCTTTGGCTTGATCTTGGCTCTGTTCATGTCCATCTGCCGGACAGAGAAGAAAGACAACAGAGCGTACAACTGTCGGGAAGCTGAGTCCACCTACCGCCACCAGCCCAAGAGGCCTCAGAAACACATCCAGAAGGCAGATATTCACCTGGTCCCTGTGCTCAGGGGCCAGGTGGATGAGGCTGATGAAGTTGGGCAGTGCCACAGAGATGCTGGCAAGGAAGCGATGATGGAAGCAGGCTGGGACCCCTGCCTGCAGGCCCCCTTCCACCTCACGCCAACCCTGTACAGGACCCTGCGTAACCAAGGCAACCAGGGAACACTGACAGAGAGCCGAGAGGTGCTGCAGGACACTGTCAACATGCTTTTCAACCATCCCAGGCAAAGGAATGCCTCCAGGGAGAACTTAAACCTTCCTGAGTCCCCGCCTACCCCAGGCCAACCCCATGCGAGACCCCTGAAGTTTGCTGGCAGCCCCATGGGGAAGCTGGCAGGAGACCAAGGCAGCGAGGAGGCTCCACTGAGCCCTCCAGCATCCTCGGCCACTCTGAGGCGGCAACGGAATCTCATTGGCAAAGTGTCGCCTAAGAAAGAATCAGGTCCCCACCAGATTCTGCGGAACCTGGTCCGACTGTCCGTGGCGGCCTTTGCAGAACGGAACCCTGTGGAGGAGCTCACTGTGGATTCTCCCCCTGTTCAGGTACCTCAGGCATGGGCAGCTCTTTCCCTGCTCCCCTCCTCCCAGCCATTGCTAACAGCATCAGACATTCTCATTTCCTTTACATTCCTCACACTCATTCTTAGGCTCACCGGGCACTTTATAATGTTCTCCTGGAGTAGCAATGGTTTAGGAGACAACACTGGGGTCAACAGATCTTAGCTGTGTGATCCTGGGTAAATTGCTTACTGTCTCTGAGCCTTAGTTTCCTTAACCATAAAACAAGAATGATGGTAAGAGTATCTGCCTCATAGAGTTGTCCTGAGGAATCCATCAGTTAATTCCTGCAAAGTGCTTACTCAGGGTGCATGGCAAACACCGTGATTACAAGTACAAGCTTTGGGGCAAGGTTATCTGAGTTCAAAATCCTGGCTCTGCCTCTTCCCAGCTGTGACCCATAGGAAAATTGCTCAATTTGTTGAAGGTTCACCTTCCAAGTTTGCTTAAGATAAAATGAGTCAAGTCAAGGCCAGTGAGACCCTGTCTCAAAAAAAAAAACAAAGATACAATGAGTCAATGCACTTGATGCCTATTAGACGGGTGTGTGGCATGGAGTCAGCCTCAGCAAATAGCTACTATTCCTTCTGCAAAGCACTTCTCTGCTCTCCACCTGCCCGCATCTCATCAGGGAAACCTCCCTATAAAGCAAGCTGGCTTCACTATCATTGTCCCTAAGTTTGGCGGCTGCATTTGACATGCTTAAGAACCCAAAGCTTACCAGCTGGGCCTGCAGCATGGGGCAGCAGAAACAATGTTAGAACTTTGGATTTAGGCAGATCTGAGTTCAAATTCTAACACTGCCACTTAGGAGCCAGGCTCCTAAGTCCTCTAACAGCCGAGCCTAATTTTCTTCATCTATAAAATGAGGATTACGGTGACAAAATCACCCTGTGTCTACTTCCCTGGAGGGTGAGGAATAAATGGGATGATGAACGACAAACCCCTTCTGACTCAGGATTTACTAGACACAAACTGGGAATCTGATATCATACACCCCCACCCCCTGCTCTTCTGAATGCAGAGTTTTCACTATGCCAGGCTGCCCACCAAGGCACTTCCGTTTGTCCAGGCCATCAGCTCGGGTTTCCTGTGAGCAAGGACACAGCTTTCTCCCCCCACCCCCTTCCCAGGAAGCCACCTGGATATTGCTCAGCTGTTCTCTTAGGAATCTTGCCCTGGGGCTTCTGCAAACCTGAAGGTGCCCTGAGCCAAATATTCATTCATTCATCCATTCATTCATTTATAAAATGCCTTTTGGATGAACTCTTCATGCCAAACACTGTGCTTGCTGCTGGTGGCAAGACAACAGACAGCAAGCACTGCGGGTGATATTACTGAAAAATGGAAAGAAAGATGTCCATTTGAGATCAGCTTGAAGGTAAAAGAGTAAAATGCCCACTGCTTGTGTCTTTCCTGCGACACAGCACCCCAGTGGAGCCAGAGCTGAGTTTGAATTACAGCCCTAATTGCTGGACAGCCCTGTAAGCCTCAAGTTCCACCTCTACAAATTGAGAGTGAAGGTGTCTCCTCCCTTGGGCAATTGTGAGGATTATATGAGATTGCATACCACCAGGCAGTTATTGAGTGTGTATCATGGGATCTATTAATAAGTGATTTATATGCCTCGGCCCATTTATATCTCATAACTACCACATGACCTGGACCTATTCTTACTATCGGTGGTCATGTGGTGTTTATTTTGCAATACTTGGGATGGAACCCAAGGCCTCATGCATGCCAGGCAATGCTCTACCACTGAGCCACATCTCCAGCCCATAACTTCCTATTTCTTTGCTACTGAGGAGACAGGGGCTCTGGATGCTTAAGTAATTCCTCAGAGCCACCAGATGGGAGCTAGGGCAGGAACAGATTTAGAACGTGAACTTGAATCTGACTGACTGAAGAGTCTTGGTTCTGACTGTGAAGTGACCCTGAATGACAGCAAGAAGCACAGGGCTTGGTGTGCAGGGAGCGTTTGCTGAGTGTCACCTGGGCAAAGGCCAGTGGGTGCCAAATGAGGGCTTCTGGGCCAGGACTGGGAGGTGGGATCTGCCCTGAGGCAGGCCATGAGACCCTAACCTTCCCAAGTCACAGCTAAACCCCAGTCCTAGCCACCTCCTCTTCCAACTCTCCTCTGAGGTTGCCACTTCCAGGCATCCCAGAGGCAGAAGCAGCCAGCATTACTAGGAGCAACAACCCCAAACTCCTTGTTTGCAGAGGATTTTTACTTTTCCAAACCATCTCGTTAATGCTGACAATGCTGTGAAGAAGGCTAGCCCCACTTCAGAGAAGAGTGGTAAGGAAACGAGGTCTGAGTAGGTATAAAAACCTGCCTGATGTTTCACAAACTAGAAATGATCATGAACTGGAACTTAGTCTCCCAAGACTGCTGCCTCTCCCTCAAGGCCCTAAGTGTCTGGTGCTGACATCTCCCTTCCTCGTTGGCCCCTTCTCCAGCCTTTCTGAAACTTTGCCATCTTTCTGACCTTTCAGAGCTCCTGCCTGATACTCCCCTGACCCCAGACCCTCACTTTCTAGCCAAACTCCAGTGGAGCTTTGGGGTTTCAGTGGAGGTGCCTGGCATGTAGTTGGAACTCCAAAAAAACATGTGTTGTAATAAACGAAAGCTGGATGCAGTGGCACATGCCTGAAGTCCTAGCTACTTCGAGGCTGAGGGAGGAGAACTCTTGAGCCTAGGAGTTTGAGGCCAACCTGGGTGACATAGCAAGACCCTGTCTCAAAATAAATCAAAGAAATGAATAAATTCCCTCCAGTACCACCCTACTATTTCCTCCCTGCTCCAATTGGGTTGGGGACCTGCATGTGGGTTGGGGGCCTCCTCTGCTCCTACAGACCCCATCCTTTGCCAACACTCAGATGTAGCCCCCTTCTCTGTCTTCTCAACAAACCATGAGCTCCCAAAGGTTGGCAAAGAGGTCTCTTCATTCTTAGTCCCACAGCAATACCGTGCCTGGCACAGCAAACACTTCTTAAATATTTAATGAATGAAAGAGTGAACAAATGACACCATTTTGCCTTCTCTACAACGCAGCCTTTATATCTGACCCACGCAAATTGGCTAGGGCTTAAATACTGCTAAAAGGAGGAAATAACTCTTGGAGACCATCGTATCAGAGTAATCATGCCTTTCTGATCAGGAAATGCCTTTTTCACCCCAACCCACAAAGTCCATGAGGAGCAGGTCACTTGGGGATAAGGCCAGGGGTCCCCATGTTCTTCCTTAGACACCGAGGGCGACATGGTAAACAGGGAAGCTGTCTCCACCCAGGGTCCCTGTCTCTGTCATAGGGACCATCCCCCGTCTGATCACACAAACACTGAAACCAGAGGAAAGACTATAAAAAGAAAGCGCCGGCAGTGAGGGAAACATCCGGCAAGGAAGTGTGCTGGGTCGGAATTGTGTGGAGTCAACAGATTTTTCCTGTCTTGTAGCAAATCTCCCAGCTGCTGTCCTTGCTGCATCAGGGCCAATTCCAGCCCAAACCAAACCACCGGGGAAATAAGTACTTGGCCAAGCCCGGCGGCGGCAGGTAAGCAGCACGTAGCCCCACAGTCTTCTCCAGGCCTGTACTGGCCGCTCCACCCTCCGCAGCCTCAGCGAGGCAAGGAAGAGCGAACACATCCTAGACACTGGTCTCTGGGTGAGTGCACCAGACAGCACCCATCCCCACCTCAGAAGACTTCGTCCTGGGGCGACTGTATTTATAGTATTTACAGGGCCCAGAGTCACTAAGGAAATGACTTCATCCCTGAGCTGTATCTGTCCCGATTACAGAGGTGCTGTAAATTGGCTTTCAGTCTGTAACTTTCACCTTTCTCTTGACCCACAAACATAAGGACTTGGATGTGTGGGTGCGGCCCTTTGGGCAGTCCTAGAATTGAAGAAACCTAAAAAGGACATCTTATCTGACTCCTCAATACACAGGGAGAATCTCGGAGACTCCAACCCAGTTATGCAAATTTGAGCAAGTCAGATAATCTCTCAGTACCTCAGTTTCTCCATCTATAATATGGAAACCATAATACTTTCCTTGGTGATGGGATAATGTTTAATGATCAAAGTTTTTCTGAGACCATAGCCCAGTGCCTGGCACCCAGCAGATGCATAGGTAATGCTATTCCTTTCTCTCTAGTGTGACTTTGCTCAAGGTCACCCAGCTGGGACCAGCTCTCAGGGCTCCTGAATCCTGGATTGGAGTTCTTACCCTGATAATTTGCAACTTCTTTTTTTTACAAGGATGGTGAGAGGTAGTGTAGAACAAAATGAGTACTGTAGGGAAGTTTAAATTTTCCCCCTGAAGTTTCCATATTTGACTCTGCTGAAATACACTGACCAAAACAAAACTTTTGATCATAGTTTTATGTGACACAGAAGGCTTCAGATTGAAGACCTCAGGACCCAGGGTGAACTCTTCATTTTTAGGCTTAGGTTCAATAAATCGGGGACAGTTGTGTGGACAAATGATGGGACAAAAAAGGTGTAAGCTAATGGAAAGAGACTGAGGGGAAAACCCAGTGAGGCCCATCTGTCCATCTGTCCAGATTCTTCTTGGCTTCTCTATGTAGCATTGCTTCCCTCTAGATATGGGACAGGAACCTTTCTAGAATAGGGGGTCTATGATCTATCATCAGAAGGTAGGCTAGAGAGTTTCTTTCTTTCCTTTCCTTTTTTTTTTTGGCAGTACCGGGGTTTAAACTCAGGGTCTGGTACTTCCTAGGCAGGTGCTTGGCACTTGAGTTACACTTCCAGCCCACAGAGAATTTCTTTATGACCAATTTATACATAAAGGTGGGGAGAAATTAGAGTAATATGTTTAGGTTTTATAGCTGGCTTTGGGGAAAAGGAGTTCTCATTTCTATGACCCACTTTGGGAAAGAGAAATTCTGGTTTCTATGGTTTTCTTGGGGGCAGGGGTAGTGAGAGGATGGAAGGGGTTGGGGGGGTGGGGGAGTGAGAGATAGGAGGGCAGGGATAAGAAAGAAACTTTGTTTCTGAGGCCTTCATTTTTTGGGTATCCTTTTCTGAGCCTTAACAGCACATATATTCCAAAGCACATCAGCCTTGATTTGAATTCTTGTTTTATTTCTTAATCCATGGGGACCTTGGGCAAGCTGCAAAATTTCACATCTTGGTTTTCTCATTTGTAAAATGGAGATGACGAGAATTCCTTACAGGCATGAAATGTTCCAATGACAGGGTACATGTACCTTGCAAAGCAAGACCAAATCAGAGTCATTAATCAATAAACACTAGTCGTTATCATTATCACCCACAAACTTGCTATCTCCCCCTGATTGCTCAATAGCAAGAGAAATGGCCGTGGAGGAAGGAGTGCAGGGACACCAACCAGAAAGGACTCAAGCCTTAAAGGTCCTCCAGGCGCCTTCCCACCTGCTGGCGTGAAGGTCCAGGCCTCTCCTCAAGTGACGATCAAAGTGAGGGACCACAGTGTAGTCAACCAGAGACTGGGGTGCAGGAGGTAGATGTGAGCAGTTTTAGGATGTCCCACCTCAGCTGCATCCTCCATAGACCTACTCTTCTTCTCTCAGAGTTGGCTTTAATAGAGAGGGAGGAACAGTCAGTCACTCATTCTACAAAGTATTTATTAAGCACCTACTGTGTGTTGGGCCATGTTCTGAGCACTTGGCAAGAGAATAAAGAATAAGGAAAAACAAAAATCCCTGCCTGGCTGATGATGGGTGCATGACTGCATTGGCTCAAGAAGTTTACTAAGCACCTCCTCTGTGCCACACACAGCCAATGGTGAGTGATACTACCAGTGGGTTCATATTCACTTCTGTTTGCCAAGTGCTTACAGTATGCTGAGCATATGACCTACAATAGACCATGAGGTGGGTGTTACTTATTGCTTCCATTTTACAGATGAGAAAACAGAATAAGCAGGAAGGCTGGGTCCCCAGAGTCCAGGCTGATCAACTAGAAAGGCCAGGCGGTATAACCAGTTCCCTGTGGATGAATGCATGCTGGAATGAATGGACAAAGCTATGTGGAAATTCCTCATGTGCCAACTGGTTGTTTTCCTCTGCAGGAGTGCAGTCCCAGACACGGATGGTCCAAGTGCCAGGACTGGTGGCCAGGCAGAACCGGACCAGGAGGAAGGGCCTTTAGATGCTGAAGAGGACCTCTCTGTGAAGCGGCTGCTAGAAGAAGAGCTATCAAACCTGTTGGATCCCCACACAGGTAGGGACTTCCAGGATTACCCCAATACTGCCTCTGTCCCATGGTCCCCTCATATGCCCAGGTTTCAGAGTGCTGCTCCAATCTATGGTAGGGAAACTGCCATTCCACTCCTGGGGAGAAACATCAGCAATGTTTTACTTCCCCTAGAGCCTCAGAAAGTATCCCATTATTTAAAGACCAGGTTCTACTTTGTTCATTTTATTTGATTTACTTACTTATTTTTTGGTGTTACTGGGGTTTGAAATCAGAGCCTTGCACATGCTAGTCAGACACTCTACCACTTGAGCCACACCATCAACCACTTTATTAATTTTAAAAATCATCGCAAGAATAGTGGATGATTACTGAGTTCTTGGTGTGCGCCACATATCAAGGAAGCACCTTATATACGTTATCTCAGTTGAGCCTACAGTCCTCTGAGGTAGATGAGCAAAGTAAGGTTCAGAGAGGTAAAATAGCCTGCCCACAGTCATCTAGCACCTCAGTGATTGAAGGGGAGCCCAAACCTGGGACTAGTCTTTTTTTTTTTTTAGATACTGGGGTTTGAACTCAGGGCCCTACACTTATTAGGCAAGCACTCTGACACTTGAGCCACACCCCAGCCCTAAACCTGGGTTTTCTTAACTCCTAAACCTCACAGTGGCATTTCTTCGGTATATTTAAATACCCTTTTACCATGGGAATTGAGTCAACTCTTTAATGTCCTAACACTTCTAATTGCATCAAAAAGATTTTTTTTTGGTAGAGAAACAATTAGTTTTGACAATAAATGCATAATGTGAACTTATCCGTACCTCCCATCACCCCCACCCCACCATGGACATCGCTCACCTCCTTTAGGTGACACATACCATGCCTGATCATCCCTACAGTGTGATTCTGTTTCTGCAGTTAATCTGTTTCTTGTGTGCTCCACCTGGCTGCAAATACAATGAAGGCATGGCAGGGACTGTCTTTTCCTTAGTTAAAAAAACATTGCTAACATTTACTGAGCACTTTTTATGTGCTGGTCCTCATTCTAAATTCCTCATGAGAAAATCTTAAGAGAGTGGAGCTATTCATTATCCCCATTTCATAAAAGAAAAAAAAAGCTGAGGGTCAAGGGTGTTTAATAATTTGTTCAGGCTGTACAGCTAATGGTTATTAACATAGGCAGTATGGCTCTAAATTTTAGTGCTGTGCTTTTCAATATGGTAGCCACTGGCCACATGTGGCTATTTAAATTAAAATAAAATAAAATAATTCATATCCTCAGTTATACCAGCCACATTTCAAAGGCTCAATAGCCACATAGGATTGGTAGAAATAGCTTTGGATTCTGTGTTCCAATGGTCCTGCTTTTTCCCATAGCAAAGAGGGCACTGGGGAGTATGAGTGGGGGAAAGGAAGGAAGCAGGGATAGGAAAGCCTTTGCTGCCCACAGGGCTGGGCTGCTCTGGGGCTCCTGAGGATCTTGGTGATCAAAGAAAGCCCCACCAAGGATGTGACATGACAATATTTTACTGCTTGCATGAGCTCACCACTTCCTCACCACTTGTGAAAGGAAAAGGAGACTCAGAGAGGTTCAGCCATTTTCCTAAGGTCACACTAAGAGGCAAAATGCAGAAGTTGAACCCAGGTGGGTCCAATGCCTGGTAACTGGTGGGTGATGCAGAGTAAATTCACCATGACTTTCCAGCTGTTCTCATACACTCCAGTAGATTGCTCGTTCTCCTCTAAAGCTGACCCTTGTACAAGGAAAGGCTGATTCTGTACCTCTAAGTGTTCTACCTCTTACCACCTCAAAGTCTCATCTCAGGGAACTAACACATACAATTTCCATATGTTGAGGGTCAATATTTGCGTTCATTAATCACTCACAGACATTCACTAAGTCTCAGGCACAGCCAGACCCTAGGATCCAGCAGGGCAGCGGGCCAACCCTGCCCTGTCCAGAACTGAAGGCAAGAAAAAGGGAATCATTTATCAATATAAAAAAATGATTAGCTGTACTTTGGAATAACTTTTCCAAATTACAAAAGTGGTATTTGGTTAATATAGAAAAACACAGATAAATAAACAGAATAAATCACTTCTGCTCAGAGGTAATTTCAGTTAACTCTTTACCCTGTCTCTGTCCAGCCTTTTATTCTTGCACAGATTTTAAAAGCTGCTCACCTGAAGCAAACATTAAACACGTATTAAAGTCAATGTGTTCTCTTGTTTTTAAAGACCCTGTTTCTCAGCCATGAGACTTACACTTTCCTTTCTTTCCTCTCACTTGACCTCTGCCATCGGGGCTAAACCTAGTTTTTGGAGATAGGATTCTCTGTAGAAGTAATGGGAAAAGAAGAATGATGGCGGTAACCGGCAATAGAGTTGCTTTGTCACTGCTTGTGCCCCATCCTTTTCCCCAGACAGCCATCAGGCAGGCAGCCCCTTCCCAGCCTGACTCAAGGGAGAGGTTTCCTGCAGCTTGAGAGGTGAAGGTATGAGGAGGAGTTGAGGCTGGGGCCAAGTGGTGACCATGCCCAGTCCTTGGCAGAACTGGGAATTCCAGAGGTGGGCACCAGAGCATCCAAGGACAAGAAGGGTCAGCTCTTCAGGGAATGGGGAAGGTGCAGTTTCAGGGGCTTCAAAGTCATCAAACCTGGTGGCAAATCTGGATTTGGTTACCTAGCAGCTCTGGCTTTTCAGAGGTTCAGTTTCCTCGTACTGAACACGGACATCAGACTCGACTTCAAAGACTGGAGGTCTCTGAGGTTAGAATAGACAGTTGTGTAAATTGCTTGACACAGAAGCACTCAATAAGTGGTCATCATTATTATAGCTATGCATACATCTAGAGCTCCAGCCTTGGCTAAGGACAGCCCTCAACCCCCAGTCAACACACACATCTTCAGGAGGTGGCTGAGGGGTGAGAATCCAGGCTACACAGTGAGTGGAGGACACTTGGACGTGAAGATTGCCATGGGCAGAAACATCCTTTAGACCGGCAAACTCGTAACTCTAGGTCCTCCTGTTCCTCCTTCCTCCTCCCTACGCAGCTCATCCCGGTGCTTCTGTCAGCAGCCTTCCTGCCCCGCAAGCTTCTCTGTCAGGGCCTCTTCCTTCCTGTCCCCTCTCGCCAGCCCGTCTGTCCGCTGCCATTTCCCTTCCCTCCTTTGTCCACTGCCCTTGCCCGGGCCACAGCCCCACCTCTCCTGCCGGCCCTTCCCTGGCCCTGGCCCTCACTGTGCCCCCTCCTCCCTCTCCCTGCAGGGCTGGCCCTGGACCGGCTGAGTGTCCCCGACCCAGCCTGGATGGCGAGGCTGTCACTGCCCCTCACCACCAACTACCGAGACAACGTGTGCTCCCCGGACGCTGCGGCCTCGGAGGAACCCAGAACCTTCCAGACGTTCGGCAAGGTGGCGGGGCCTGAGTTGAGCCCCGCGGGCACGCGGCTGGCCAGCACCTTCCTCTCGGAGATGAGCTCGCTGTTGGAGATGCTGCTGGAGCAGCGCTCCGGGGTGCCGGTGGAGGCCGCCTCTGAGGCCCTGCGGCGGCTGTCGGTGTGCGGGAGGACCCTCAGCCTAGACCTGGCCACCAGCAGGGCCGCCGGCCCCGAAGTGCAAGGGGGCCCGGGTGGGAAGGCTGAGGGCAGACGCGGTGTGCCCGGCAGGAACCTGTGAGCGCACCTTGGAGACCTCTGGATCCAAAACCCAGCTCTCCTGGGAGATGTTAGGCCCTGAGGAAATGAGTTGGTGTCTGAAGCCTTGGAACCCACCAATCAGATGAGGCACAAACTTTAGGGTGATTGATGCTGCCCCCACCCCACAGAGGAGGCAGAGCCTTCTAACAGCTGACTGATGGGCTCTGCCTGTGAGCTTTTTGGAAGACTGGAACAGTTGGTGGCTGAGGTGTTTGCTGGCAGAACGCAAGTAGAATGCCAAAGGTTGGTTCTCTGTTGGAACAGATGCCACCAAGTACCACAGGAAAGGAAGGTGACCTGGTTGGAGACTGGAGGCTGAGGGCTGGATCCTGGGGGTGCCAGGCAATGCTCTCTGACCTACTAATAAAGGAAAAGCTGCAGCTCATGCTTGTGTGCACCTGTCACAAAGGAGGAGAGAAGAGTAACAGAGTGAGGGTTGTCATTCAATCCCTGGCAAGTTCATGTGGGCCTGGACAGGAGAGAGGGGCATATGGTGCACAGTGACAGGTACATAGACAATGGACATGTTTGCTCCTGACCCCAGTCTGCTCTGTTGTCAAATAATCTGACCTCAGCTGGGAAATTAGGACTAAGAAAAGCACGACTATAACTACAGCAGTTATATCAGCCGCACACTAGAATTTACAATGGGATTTAATTTGATTTCCCCACAACCTGGGAGGGAGGTGTTATAATCCCCTCTTCACAGACAAAAACAGGAGGCTTGGAAAAGTTGAATCTTTCTCAAGATTGAGTGGGAGCCAGAATTTGGGCCCAGGCTGATTCAACACAAAAACCATGTCCTCAACTTTGGCTTTAGACTGCCAACCAAGGAGTGGAAAAGGAAAAGTGAGAACTTGCAGAGCACCTCTCAGGAAACGCTGGTGCAAGGTGCATTTCCAAAGCTGCTTGGGCCTGCACAACTCCATAATTGTGAGCACAGGGAGAGAAACTTGGATCTGACTTGGAGTGGTCTTTCAGGTGTTGAAGTTATCTTGACAACCCCTGTTGATGGATAACTTCCTCCTCAGAAGATCTGGGCCTGTGAACTAGAGCCTCAGAGGACAGTATGTGAACTAGGTCTATAAAACTGACAGTGGCAGCAGTCAGCCTTCCAGGGGAGGGGAGGGCGAACAAACAGCAAATATTTTCCCAAGCCTCAGCTTTGTAATTTTTCTGGAACTTTCCAAGCAGTCATAGCTAGTTTACCATAGCGTGGGATTCTCTTGGACACCTCAGGCAGAAGTTCCTCTATTAGCTCCTTTTGTCCCCTTCTGGAGCTCAGGGCTCACGTCCACCACCCACAGAAATGGGTCAATCACAGTCACAACTAGGGATGAGAATTGAATCACATACTTAGAATGCAGCATGGCAACATATTCTACTTTATGGATGAGTAAAATGAGGCCCCCAAATGTTAAGCATTTCAGGGGCAGTGTCTGGGTCTCTGATCACCTCACTCCAAGGCTAGAGTGATCGCCTTACAAGAGCTGTGGTTTTCAAGCTGGTTCTCAGAGTTGGTGGGTTCTGCAGGTCACCGAGAGAGGCTGTGAAAAACCAAGCAGGAAAGGCCTCCAGCTTGTCCAGCCAGGTGCCTGGCAGAAAGTGACCCTTGAATATTTGTTGAATGCAAATATGAATGAATAAATGGGTAAACAAACACTTCAGAGTCCCCTTTTATCTATATTGGAGCTCTAGGTAGGACTGCATTGGGATAAAAATGTTCCATTATATAAATGAGAAGTACAGTACAAAAGTAGATCATGCTGGCTGGAGGCAAGGCTCAAGTGGTAGAGTGCCTTCCTAGCAAGCACAAGCCACTGGGTTCAAACCCCAGTACTGAAGGAAAAACAAAACAAAAAAAAAAGGGAGATCATGATGACCTCATCAGTTACTAGTGGATTATTTGCAGTACAGAGCTGATGTTGGGAGAGTAAAGAGAGAGGGGGTTAAAAGTACCATGACTGCAACTGGTCCTGGATACCCTGGACCACTGCATTTCTCTAGTTCAAATCCTAGTACTAGAGGGTATACATTTCTGGCTCACTTTTCCCCTGAATACCAGGCAAAACTTTCTGTATGGGCATTTTTCTAGACATAAGGTACAAAGTTCTCATCAGATTCCCAAGGGAACATGTGACTTATAAAAGGTTATGGAGTACTGCCCTAAATACTGTCCAAACCTCTGCAGATGGGGGCCATTTTAGTCCTAAGGAGTCTGAACTTCAGCTATTTCAACTCAACCAAGGAAACATAGACAAAAACCACAGGCAACTTGCCCAAGGGCATATGGCAGGTTTGTGGCAGAGCTATTATCTGGATCTGCAATTTAGGCTGGTGTTCTCATACATTAAGTGTTCTTAACCTGGGGTCCCTGGTGGGGCTTCAGGATCTGTGAATCTGCTGGTTGTGTGCAAAGTTGGGAGGACATACATTTTTCTTTGGGAAGGAGTGGGTGCTTTCATTAGATTCTCAAAGGGGGCTCTGACCTAAATAAGATTAAGGACCATGGCAGTCCTCTAGCTCTATCCCTACAGAGCCTGGAGAATGCCTGGAGAACAGGGCAGAGCTGCTCCTGTTCTGAGGCAAGTGATCTTTGGTCAGGGTGGGGGAGGGTGACATGAGGGTTGGTGCTCTCCCCTGTACCACACACTCCCTTATAGTGCGCTGACACCAGCATTTTCCCCTAACAGGCTGAGAGTGAGACAGTGCATATGGTGACAGAACTGGGTGTGCTGAACAAGAAGGTTACAGAAACTTCTTGACATCAGCCAAGATGTCAAAGCTGAGACTTTGGACATGTTCAAAACAGTTTCCACCAAGATGGGCTCTGTCCCCTGGGAGACTGAGAGAGCAGAACCAGTAAGCACTCAGTTAAATGTCGTCTTAATTTGGAAACCATAGAGGGACTTTTTTTTTTTTTTTTATCAATAGTCAGCTGTTCTCCAGCACTGAGTGCAAGGCAGTGCTTACTCAGAGCCTGGGGGCAGCTCAGAGATTGACAGGCAGCCTTCTTATCTGTCACCCAACTTTAGCTTGGAAGCCCACTGACCCTACCTCTCCTCTGGCTGAAACAAGAACGAGATGGCAACTACTACCCTTGGGACTCTGGAGAGAACCAAATCTCAAAAAGAAGGCAGGTAGAGGGAGGGAGGAAAGGCTCAGCCTGGCACATGTGTACCTAGAAAATAGGTCAGTGTTTTCTAGTCTCTACTAAGTACTGGGTACAATGTAATGGGAGGGCACATATAAACATTCACTCAACAAACGTTTTTTATTTGTTGAACCATTTCTAAGTGCCAGAAATAACGCAAGGATCAAGTGGTGGTAAGGGCATTAGGAGGATGTTCATCCACCAACTATTTTGTGTGTGTGTGTGGTACTGGGGCTTGAATTCAGGGACTATACCTTGAGTCACTCCACCAGTCTTTTTTTATAATGGGTTTTTTCTTTTCAGGTCTCATGGACTATTTGCCTGAGCTGGCTTCAAACCATGATCCCCGATTTCTGCCTCCTGAGTAGCAAGGATTACAGGTGTGAGCCCGGGTATCAACAATTATTTAAAGCACATACTACATGTAGGCTTGGTGCTGGGCATGGGGTGGAGGAGTTACATATAATCACTCTCATTTATTGAATAGCTATTCACTGAATATCTACTAAGTGCCCTGCACTGTATTAGCACTGATGATCCGATGAACCAAATGGCCTTGTTCCCACCAGTATCTGCTTCCTGGAAAGAGAATATTCCAGAGAGAGAAACTGAAGCAGAAGACTTCTGCTCACAGGCCTCATGGCTAAGGGTGCCAGACCCTAACCCTTGGATTCCCCAGCATCCTAAGTCAGGCTGGCCCTGCTTTGGGGCCATGTCTCTGTCCTCTGAGGGCAATAACATCAACAGGTCATTAATAACAGAATTTTAATGACAAAGGCACAGCAGTTGCCAGGTCTGTTCATGAAGTCCGTCCCCTGGGGTGGTATGGAGACCACAGTGACTATACAGTTGAGTTTTTGGTCCCCTGACATCTCTCACGACTTCCACCCTTCTCTCTCCACAAGCACAGGTTCTTCATCCTTAGGTTGGAGATGACATTTCCCAGGGTGCCCAGGCAGGTTCACAGGCCACTTGCAGGAGGAACACATGGGGTTAGTCATGTTCTTACTGCAGGACTTCTTGGAGCCTGGAATATGCTATGGGTACTGTGGATCTATAAAAAGGAGATGTCAAACATGGAAGGTGGTGCTTACCAAACTTATTTGACCACAGAAAACGTTTTTATTTTTTTGGCAGAGGGTTTAGAAATTCATGCACTGAATGGCTTAAAACTCTGAGCATCAAAACCTTACCCTGCAAAGCACTGCTGTAAGTGCTGGGCTAGTAGAATACAAAGTCAAGGTCCCCGCTACCAAGGAACACTGTCTTTGGGGGTTAGTAAGGTCTAAGGGCGGTGAGGGCAGTGTGCAGAGCAGCCATAGGGGAGGTTCTGGAGCTCTAATGGTGAGCAAGGTGTTGGAGAAGTATGGTAAGGACCACATAAAGGATGAGAGAGGTGAGGGTGGGCAGCAGAGATGGAAATGAGGACCATTTCTCCCCCCAGATACCCTCATCTTTGAATGGCCACCTGGCTGGTCCTTCCCTTTCAGTCATGGGGCAGGGGTGGGAGTGGGGAGGGATGTGTGTGGAATGCTCCTTGGTCCCTCCCACCCCATACCCTTAAACCACATCTATGCTATTGAACTTGGGCTAACATCCAGAAGCCAGGGAACAGCAATTCACAAATTCATTTATTGAAGTCATTAGCGTTGACTCAGAAATCATTTTTTTCTAAGTCTCTCTCTTGGAGAAGCTTTTAAGACTCTTAAAATTGGTTAATGGAGAGTTTAAGAGATGAGGATGGAGCCTCAGCTTTCAGCTCCTCCTGCTCCTCCTGGCCTTCCCCAACATACTCAAGGGCAACAGTGATGAGATAGTCCACTATCTGCTTTATTAAACACTCATACATTTCTGGCTCACCTTTCCCAAATGAGGACTCTTAATCTACACTCTCTAACTCCAAGACTCCAGGTAGCCAATCTCCATTTACTTCCTCATATCAGCAGGATGATAAGGCTTTCACATAAAGTGACAGAAAGAACTGGCAAAATAGAAGCCAGGGTAGAGAATCATGGGCATCACCTAACTCTGGAGGACCAGTGAACACGTAGGTCTTTCGAACTGAAACACTCCACTTCAATCCTATAAAGTATAAAGACACACACCACTGCTCCTGATCAACAGCTGAGGAAACAGTATTATGGAGTCAGGTCACCACTTCAAGGTGACATGGCTAGGCAAGCAGCAGAGCCAGAACCTTGGTCTTCATGTACTTTCCTTTTAAGGTGCTGGGAAGGTACTTGAGGTTTTTGGGAAGGTAAGTTGAGAACTGGCCTCTTCTTTGGGACTCAAGTTGTAGTATCGCTGAGAACTCACAGGCTCCATCTTTAGGGCTCAGGAGATCTGGAAAAGTCAAGCAGACACATATAGGCATTCAAGAAAGAAACACATTCCAGGGGTAAAAATGACCAAAGTACATTATATGCCTGTATGGAGACATAATGAAACCCCTTTGTACAACTAACATATGCTTATTAAAAACAAAACAAAACAAAAAAAGAAGTCTTTGCTCCCATTTCCTGAATGAGGGCAGGAAACATTTCTCTCTCTGTCCTCCCCACCCTACCTTGTCTGTACTTTATCCAGTTATACTAAAATAAATCCTTGCTGGGGTGGGGAAAAGATATTCCTCCCAGATCAAAGGTGGAATGAAAGCAACCATGAATATATTGGGGTCAAATGTCACAGCTACTCTCAGGGATGACCTGACTTGGGTGTTTTCCACGTTTCAGCCACTCATGGAATAATCTCCATGGTTTCTGCCACCTCTCTGGAACCCCTTCACATGATGTTTTCCTTTAAATTGATTCCCGGGGTAGAGGTGGGGAGGAGGTGGCCCACACAATGTATATACATGTGAGTGAATGTAAAAACAATAAAATTTAAAAAATATATCAATTCCTTTTTTTTTTTAAAGTTAGCTTTGTAAGCATGTACAAAAAAATTACAGGTCAATACGCTAGTCATATTTGCATACCACCTAAAATCCTCTTGTGAACTACCAGAGGCACACACACATCAGATGTTGGCAAACAATAGTTAAGTGTGGGGAAACTGAGGCATGGGGCAGAGACAGTAAGTGATTTGCTCAAAGGTAAGGCTAATGTAAGGAAAGGATCTCTGGATTGTCCAGTAATTTTTCAGAAGTCACTGAATGAATCCTTTTGGTAGACAGACCAGAAAAGACTGAAAATGTATTTAAGGATCATCTGTGAGGCTAAAAAGTGGAGGAAAGGTCAAAGTCATTGATTAGCCATACACTTTATATAGTTGGGCACCTCAACTATTTGTGGAATTTCCACTGTGGCAGGAGATATTGACACCCTTTTTTTTTTTTTTTTTTGTGGTGCTGGGGTTTGAACTCAGTGAGTCACTCCATCAGCCCTTTTTTGTGAAGGGTTTTTTCGAGATAAGGTCTCGCGAACCATTTGCCTGGGCTGGCTTCGAACCATAATCCTCCCGATCTCTGCCTTCTGAATAGCTAGGATTACAGGCATGAGCCACTGGCATCCAGCCCTGACACCTTATTTTTGTCATGCAACCTTCTGCCCCCTGCTCCCTGAGACATCAGCAACTGTTTTATCTCACCTTAGCCAAAACCAAGTCTTACGAGACTCCTTTCCAAGGAGGGGAAAGCCCTGCTGGGGACTCCAGGGCTGGTGCCAAGATGCCCACTTCTGCAGAAGAGACCGAGGTTCCCTGTGCTTGAGGCATGGGGGAGGCCTGCGGTACCTCCCAGCAGGGTGTTCAGGCTGCACAGGGAGGGGCTGGAGAAAGACTTGAGTCCTGTTACTGCCAAGTGGCCAGGCTTTGGGGCTACAAGAAGAAGAGAGCAATGCTTACTTGTGGGACATTCTCAGATTCTGACTTCAGAGCAAGGACTTCCTAAAGGACCTGGCTCCCCCTAGCAAAGTCAACCCAGCCCAGCCCCAGTAACTCATGGGTAAGCAGGGCTCTCGAAGCCCTAGAACAATGAGCAGCTCAGACAGCCTCAGGGCATTGGTTCTCCTGAAGAGCACAGAGAACCAGAGTAGCCATTTGTTGAGTACCTACTCTGTGTCAGGCTGTGCCAAGTCCTTTTATTTTTTTGCATATCAAAGATTGAAGCTAGGCCTCCACATGAGCAAGCACTGTACCACGTGAGCCATGCTCCCAGCCCTTTGGTTTTTATTGTGCATTTGAGATAGGGTCTCACTAACTTTGCCCAGGCTGGGCTCCAACTCAAGATCTTCCTGCTTCCCTGTCTTGAGTAGCTAGGTATGCATCACCACTCTTGGCATAATCCTTTTTTATTTATTTGCTGTTGTTTATTTATTTTTATTATTATTGTACTGGGGGTACACTGTGATAGTTACAAAAGTTCTTACAATATATCATAGTTGGATTCACCCCCTCCATCATTCTCCTTTATCTCCCCCTCCCCCAATTCCTGGAATAGTTTGAACAGATCTCATTTTTCCATTTTATTTATTTGTGTTTTTAAAAAGTTTTTATTTATTTTTATTTTTGGAAGTACCAGGGGTCAACTCAGGGCTTTGTGCTTGCCAGGCAGGTGTGCTATCACCTGAACCATTCCACCCCTTCTATTTTATTTATTTTTTTTGAGACAGGGTCTTACTATATAGCCAGGCTGGCCTAGATCTCTCAACCATCCTGCCTTAATCTCTCAAGTGTGGGATTAGATGTGTGTGCCAACACACCCAGTTGTGCTAAGTCCTTCATTGTTCTCTCAGTCCTTACAACAAGCTAATGAGTCAGGTAGTACTATTACCCTGATTTTTAGAGGTGAAGAAACTGAGGCTCAAAGACATGCTCAGTTCAATGACAAAGGTTAAAACTCAGGTTTGTCTCACTTAAAAACCTATGCTCTTAACCACCGAGGCTGAAATGACAAAGAGACCAGGGGCTACTACTACCTGCCCCCCTTGTCTGTCACAGCGTACTGAGTTCAGAAAGAACTTCATGACTTTGGCTTGCATGTTACCTGCTTCCTCCATGGAAAAAAGGGTCTGCAGCCTTTTCTGGGCAGGCTCATTTCCCAGAGCAGCTGACTGCTGGTAACATCTCATAGCCTCTCCCAGATTTCTCTTTACACCAAGGCCCTTCTCATAGCAAATTCCCAAGTGATACCTGCTCTGTGCATCCTGAAAGAGAAAATGGACAGACATAAAGACACATGAAGGAATGAGGAACTAAATGCTTGGCCAGGAAGAAGGTAGAGTCAGGCATGCTGGGGCTTCAGTCACACAGGGTTAAAGCCCAGCCCTGCTCCATTCCAAGGGATCTCAACCATGAAATGCCAGAAGCCCAGGGTCTGCCCAACCCTGAGGAGAGAAGGTCCTCTGCCCAGGCAGACACCAGCCAGAGTGGTAGGGGGGCTTCTCTAGTTCACTAAGACTGGATGAAAGAAAGCAGCAATAAAAACTCAGTCCAGTATGGAAAACTTGGCACTCAGGCGTCTACCTTCTCCTGAAAGAGCAGGAAGCTAGGATGGAGGATGGTTTCCCAAAGGCTGTCTATGGCTTCCTAAGTCTCTCCCTGAGGTGGCAGAGAAGGAGAAATGACAGAGCAAATGTTCCTCAACCTTTAAAGGCTATGCCCTTTGTCCACAGCTGTGTCCTCTCCTCTCACAGAGAACACTGCCTCTCCTCCAAGAAGTGAAACAGGTAGGTGTCAGGAGCTCAGCCTATATAGCCAGCCAGTCTGAGCTCCAGTCTTGGCTCTGCTTCTTACTAGTTGGGTAACCTCAGGCATGTTACTTTACATGCCTTAGCTTCCTCACCTATAAAGTGGGGATGGTAATACCACTACCTCATGAAGCTGTCATGTTACTATGTGAAAAATGCTTACATTCGTGTTATTATTATTATTGCTTGCATCATTAAGCTCTCCCTCTTCACTGGAATATTTTCATCATATTCAGTCTCCCAACTTGAAAAACAAAACATTCTGTGGACTCCCTACCATGGTCCCATTTCTGTTCTACCCTCCACAGTTGAACTTGTGCTATGCATTCTTTCCTCACTTCTGTAACATGCAGGCCAAAATCTCTGCAGTAAACACAGTAGACTCAGGGCTACAGGCCTGGACAGAACACATGGTGGGCATTTTAAGGCTAACCACCCACTCCTGAACACACCCATACAGACAGTTCCTGATAGGTTAGAAGAATGTGAAGTCTGTGTCTTAACACAGTGCTCCATAATGAGTGACATACAAGGAAGAACAGACATAGTGCCGGGTACTGGTTGGTGACATCAGTCCCCTTTGACAGTGACAATAGATACTTCAGGCAACAGAGAATAGACAAAGAAAAGTATCCCAATGCCCAGGAGTTCAATAGCGCTATCAATGTGTTGGCCAGAAGATACAGAGAGGCAGTAGTCCTTGTGCAGGGAAATTACAGTGCATGTACATTGCTTGCTCTAACTGAGGACTACCAGCTTGGGTTGTTTCCAGGTGAAACTGAAAACACCTAAGGTCTAATGCATTTGAGGAATCCTGCAAACTACAGAGCATCTTCTTGGTGCTTCACATGACATAAAGCTCTGAGATTTCCTGTACTACAAATAGCCATTTAACTCAGTGCTTCCCAAACTCAACTAACCATCTTTCTCCTCCTATTACTCATGAAGATCCCATGGAACTAATGCCCTGTGGAACAAACTCTGGGTGATTATGCTGCCTGAATGCCAACACACCCAGTTCTTCACCAACCAGATATCCCTCTCCCTGCAAACTGCTTGCTGTGTCTGACTTTTCCAGGCCACCACCACTTGCAATGATACACTAGTCATGGAGCTTACAAAATGTGCTCACACCCGTTACCTCAGATTCTGATCCTTCCAACAACCCTGTGAGGGAATAGATGGGTAAGGCAAGCATCATTATAACAATTTAAAAGATGAGAAGCAGGTGTGAATGAAGACGTGGCCAGTCCAGTAGTGTGCTGTGAAATGTTTAACAATGGCTGGGTGGGGAGAAGCCCTGCTTTGCAGCACTTAGTGATGTCAGAGAGTACATACTCCAACCACAGCTGATTTTAAGCAACTTTACACCAATGGACCTTCCCAGGTTCACAGTAAATCAACAGGAGCTAAGGCTTGAAGTCAGCCCAAGGTTCCTAGCAAACAATACCCTAAGCAAAGAACTCAGAGCCAGTTCCCAAGTCTTTTCTTAGTCAGAATTCATCCCCAACATGCCCAGATGTCAGAGGTCTCATACCCCATTGTTGGCTGCAAGCCAAAGATAATTCACAGCTTTCTGTTCATCCAGGTGTGGCTCCTTAGTGAAAAGCACCCCGAGGAAAGCTTGGGCCTATGTTCAAGGAGGAAGGAAAAAGGCATGTTGGTCACTTTCAGGCTCTTTATGCCCTAGATACTTAGGACTAACCCCACCAACAGCACTCACCTCTCTTAAGCCTGAGTCTGCAGCCTGCATCAGCATGGATAAGGCCCTCTGCTGCTCAGGGTGCCATGAGGAGGCAGGGTCTTGCAGTAGACACCTGGCATAGCGATACTGAGCCAGACTGTGGCCTTGGCTGGCAGCCAACTGGTAACAGAGGATTGCCTGAGGCAAAGGAAGAAACACATAGTCTGCTGGTACCTCTATAAGTGCCTTTTCTTTGAAAATTTTTAAAAATAACTTTAATTAAATAATACAAATCATTATAGATTAGTCAGAAAATATAGATAAAAGCTAAAATTATGGATTGGAAGCATAAGCTCAAGTGGTAGGGCACCTGCTTTGCAAAGGATGAAGCCCTGAGTTCAAACCCCAGTCCCACCAAAAAAAAAAAAAAAAAAGAAAAAACACATAGGCCAAAAATTAAAAATGTAATATAAGGCTGGGCACAGTAATATATACCTGTAATCCCAGTACTCAGGAGGATGAGGCAGGAGGATAAGTTTGAGACCAGCCTGAGCTACATAGTGAGATCCTGTCTCAAAAAAATAAACAAAAATCGAAGAGAGAGAGAGAAAAGAAAATAATAGAAACATAAAACCCCAAGAAATCCTGCTTCCTAAATAGCATTCTCTATTAAAATTTTAGTGTATACCTTGCAAATTTCTTCCTATAGATATGTGTTACGCACACATGCATCATATACCACAGAAAGAGAGAGAGAACTGGATCATACTAAGCTACTTGGGAACTGGAGGTGCGGCTCAAGCTCTAGGTAGAGTGCCTGCTTTGCAAGCGTGAAGCCCTGAATTCAAATCCCAGTTCTACCCCTTGCCCCTCCAAAGACCATTAGTTTATGCTATTTTGTAACTTTTTTTAACTGAACAATATACCATGAATGTCATTCCCTACCAATATAGATGTAGCAAATCACTGTTAAAGCCCACACAGACATGATGAACCAGTTCCCCACCACAGGGACTCTAAGTTGCTTTCCCTTCTTTGGCCTTTATATACAATTCAAAGGAGTACATTCTTGTATATATCACCTTTGTGTACTTATCCTATTTTTTTTTTTTTTTTTTTAGAATTAATCCATTTATCAAGGAGCTGTTGTAAGCTCTGAGGGTACAGCTGCAAAGAAGAAAGGCAAGTTCTTTTGAGTCTAAATTTCTAGAAGTTGGGAGCTTCTTGCTTCTCTCTTTCTCTCAGGTCTTACTATGTAGCTCAGGCTAGCCTCAAACTCTCAAACCTCCTGACTCAACCTCCCAGGTGCTGGAATTATACACAGGCACCACCACACCCAGCAGGAGCTTCTTTCTTATGTTCCCCTCACAGCCGGGCTGCTACCAAGTCAGGGAGCACAGTGAGACTTTCCGCTTTCCCTCCTCACTGCTCATTTCTGGAGATCACTGGACAGCTCAGCCCCAAGGCTAGGCCTGGAGGCAGGGTAGAAGGGACAATACCTTGCTGAGGTCCCTGGGTGTGCCTCTGCCATGCTCATGACACAAGCCCGCATTGTACTGTGCTTTGCTGTAGCCGCGGTCTGCGGCTTTCTGGAAATAAGAAAAGGCTGCTGTGTAATCCCCATTCTTCATGTTTTCTGTCCCTGTAAGAAAGCATAGGGCATAAAAGTCATAGCTTTTTCTGTGAACCTCTGTTCCCAGTGAGACACTCACAGGTTCTCCATCTTATCCCAGGTTTTCTCCTTTATTCTTTGCACTGACATTGGCATGTATTTCATCCTCTAGATATCTCACTGGTCACTGTGAATATCTCTATTCTCTAGATACCTCACTGACTATCAGTGGACACTGCCCTCTTGTAAACCAGTCCTGCTCCGGGCAATAACATTCCCATCGCCCTTTGGGAAAAACCCCTCCCTTGTCCTGTCATCCAACCTTCCTGTGTCTTCCCAACCCTCAGACTCTTGGACTGGAGGCATGGCTCAAGTGGTAGAGTGCCTGTCTAGCAAGCGCAAAGCCCTGTGTTCAAACCCCAGTTGCACCAAAAAAAAAAAAAAAAAAAGGCCAACCAATGAGACTCTCTTAGGAGTCCTAATGGTGATCAGTTTGGGTCAAGGAGAGAAAATAGCTCTTGTAAGTTTATTCTGATAGCAGCAGTCTAGAAATACTGTCATCTGCTGCCCCCTGAGTCTCTGGGGCTTCCCTGATTCTAGTCCTTTCTGAGGCTTCACAGGTCAGGAGATCCCAATAGATTCCTTGAACTTTTAGCCAGAGTAGGTTTGGGTTGGGTTGCTTCTAACCAATGAACCCTAACTGACACAGTGATATTGTTAATCTTGTCTTATGAGGAAACTGGGAGCAGGAATATAAAAGAGCTGGGGCTTGAATGCAGGTTCATCTGACTCCAAAGCCTAGGCTCTTTCCATTGCCCAAGTGAAAGGAAAACAGGAAAGGTACCAGGCATTGCCAGTTCTCAACTCTGCTCAGACTTGCTCTGCCTGGGACCCTCTTTCACCTCCACATCAACCTCCCATCTTGTTTCTGCTCTAGAACCTTCAGACCACACTCAGGCTTTATGACGTTTTTGGAATTTTCCTAATATACCAAGCCTTTGTCTATGAACTAATCTGTTCCAAGAGTACAATACTGTCTTCTCAATTAGACTGTAAAATCCTAGAGGCAAGGCAGGAAAAAGAACGTGGGAGAAATAACTTTGCATAGGGTGAAAGCTCTATATAAATGCAAAATACAATCATAGCTTATGCTGCCTTTGTGTTCTGCCACAGTGCTTAGCACTTGAATAAATGAATATATGAATGAAGGAACGGGCAAGAAAATTCTGAGAAGAGCCTGCCCAGCAAAATCACAAAAAGCTAATGAGGAAGAAGCCAGGCTCCATTCAGCTGCTGGTGAATTAGACTCACTTCCCTGCTGCCTGAAGCTCACCGTCCAGGGTTCAAAGAGCCCTCTGTCCTTGGGGAGAAAACTAGAGAGGGCAAAGCATCTTGCCCTGCCTCCACTCCCCACACTGGCTCCATCATAACTCTGATCCCTCCTCTCTTTTGGTCTTCTCTTCCTCTAGCCTTAACCAACCACCATAATGTTTTGCTTAGGTGTCGGAAACAGTCCCTACCTGGTCTTCTGCTTTTCCTCTAGCTCCCTTCAATCCAGGATGGTCTACACAACAGCCAGAGAGATCTTTGGAAAAGTAAATTGGATCATGTGACTAACCCTCTTCCTGCTCCAATGGCTTCCTGTCTCACTTAGGAAGTCCATACTCTACGTTGGTTCAGACGGCCTTACCTGATCTGGCCTCTGCCTACTTCTCTGATTTCATATCCTTCTATTCTTCTTGTCATCTCTATGCTCCAGTCACACTCACCTTTTTTTGTTCCCATAAATAAAACACGGTGCTGCCTTAGGATCTTTGTACTTGTTGCTCCACTGCTTAGAAAGCTCTTTCTCCAGATGGGAACAAAAGTGGCTTGCCTTTGTCAATCAGATCTTAGCTCAAGGGTCTTCCTTTCAGCAAAGTTCCTTGCCCAAGTTACTAAACATCTTTTGTTTAATTTCTTTATAACACTTACCATCATCTGAAATTCTTTTTGATCTATTTCCCAACTTACTGTTGTTTTCTCCTCCAACTCACATATGGGCACCGTGAAAGTAAGGACCATGTCTCGCACCTAATATAGGGCCTATCAAAAGGTTACTGACTGCTCAGTAAATGTGTTCTGAATGAATCCCAGCCTTTCACCCACCTGCTAACTAGACCGTCACAGAAGCTGCAGGGAATCTGGGGCTCCACATTAGAAAGCCTGAAACATGAACCAAGTCACAGTAGAGCCAGGACAAATGGTAAGAGTGGAATGTGGAGTTTCCAGACATAGGTTAAGAGTTTCCATTCATGCACTTGATGGCCTGCTCCAAACCTCCAGTTTGTTTCTTCCTAAGTGTAGCAGAGAATGCCAGTGTCTTCTAAGATATAGCAATTTTCAGGTAAGCACATGAACATTCAGCTGAAGACTACATTTCTCAGCCTCCTCTGTAACAGGTGTTGCCCTAAGTCTACACTCTGGCTTCTGAAACTCAAGTGCAATTTCCAGGTCATGTCCTTAAAGGGAAGGAGTGGTCCTATAGCTTCCTGCCTTCCTCTCCCGCTGGCTAGTATATGCAATGGAAGGCAGGAGCAGGAATGGCTACACTGGACCTCAACATGAGAGTCAGACTACAGCCTGGAAGAACACTTGAAGAATGGGCCCCGACATCACTAAGAAAACACATACCTAGGAGAAAATAAAATCTCTCTCTTTTTTTTTTTTGGTGGTACTAGGGTTTTTGAATTCAGGACTTCATGCTTTCCAGGTAGGTACTCTTACCACTTGAGCCATGACCCCAGCCCTTTTTTACTTTAGTTATTTTTGTATTGTGTCTCTCACTTTTTGCCCCACGCTGACATCAGACCTTGATCCCACTACTCCTGTGTCCCATATAGCTGGGATTATAGGTATGCACTGTCATGCCCAGATAAAAATGAAATCTCTTGTTTAAATATCCCCCTGACACACACACACACACACACTGTATTCCACCTTCCCTACACCCTTTCCATTTTCCCTTGAAGCAGTCTCCCCACCCCCCAGTTACCCAGGAAGTTGAAAACGATGGAAACGCTGAGCTGGAAGACTTGCTGGATGGAAGTCACAGCCTCCTCCAGGGGAAGAGCTTGTGATTTATCTTGTTCCTGGGGAAGACACATAAAGATACATCAAGGGATGGTTCAATCACAACCTGCCCTGGGGAAGGTTATAGGAATAATACCTTCTTTTCACCAGGGGGCTGGGGCTGGCCTGGCTTTGCCTTGGACTTGAAGTCACTGCTGGTATGCAGGAAGCCCAAATCATTGGAACCTACAACAGAGAGGCCGGCACCCAGCCAGGACCCAGGAGAAGAGATCGCATCTCCTTTTCCCCTTCTCTCCCAGCTTCTCCATCCAGTACCCCAACCAGGATCCAAAACAGCTCTCAAATGTCCCAGATGGTATAGGAGCTTACAGGAATGATGATTTTATTATCCAGGAATATACAGCAATAAAGGTTCATCTGCCCAGCCCCCCTGCCCTTGTTTATCTCCCATCCCACCTTCAGTCTCTGTCCTCCCCCTCTTCTGCCTAAGAGGCGAGGCCTACCTTCTTCAGGGAGGTCCTGAAGACTAGCTGCCCTCAGAGAGCTGGATGAAGGGAGGCTCCCAGGCTGAGTTGTGGGTTCCTGCTGGCCCAGCCTGGGTTCCCTGAGGCCAGTGCTCCTGGGAGCTGGGCCCTCAGGGCTGGGAAGAATGTGCCTCCGCAGTGCTGGAAAGAGCCAGCAAGAGGATCAGGTGAGAAGGGGAGCAGTTCAGGCTGAGGGGCTTGACAGTCCTCCCTGAGGTTTTAGAGGCCAAAGGAAGAACTCTAAAACTCCTGTGACACCTCCTTCCCACTTTTCCTCCTGTTTCCTTTGCTGGCCTGGCTCCACTGAGGTCTCCCAGGGCCCATTTATGTTGACCTCCTGTCCAAGCACAAATCACCACTTGGCCTGAATTCTTGCAGTAGTAGGGAGGCTTCTACTTCATTCACTATTGTAGCCCTGGCTCTAATCATAACACTGGTAATGATTAGAATCATGATAACAACAAGAAATAATTATCAAGTTCTTATAAGCACTGATCTGAGTCCTGGACACATATTAACTTATTTAGTTTTCCCAAGAAATACCTATGGTAGGTTTTATTATTATGCCATTTTACAAATGAAGAACCAAGACACCAGGGAAGTTAAAAGTGACTTTTTCCAGGACACAACACTAAGATGCAGCAGTTTAGGGGCTCAAACCCTTACAATTTACTTCAGAGCCTCAACCACAAGACTATCTGGCTTCTGTACCATGGCATATAATACATACTCAATAAAGACTCATTTACTGCCCAGAGCTGGTGGCTCACACCTATAATCCTAGCTACTCAGGAGGCAGAAATCAGGAGGATCATGAATCGAAGCCAGCCGAGGCAAACAGTTTGCAAGACCCTATCTCGAAAATACCCATCACACAAAGGGCTGGCAGTGTGGCTCAAGGTGAAGACCCTGAGTTCAAGTCCCAGTACTGCAAAAAAAAAAAACAAAAACCAAAACCGACTCATTTTACTGATGAGTGACTGAACAGTTGACCAGAGAATGACCTAACTGGTTGAGGGTTGGGCAGGAAGCCACACCTAGGGTCTAAAGTAGCCTGGATCTGGAGGGGCTCCCTCCCTAGGAGGTGATGGCAGGACAGGGAGGGGCACTGAAAGGCAGGTGTAGCCTGCACCCTGCATGGACAAAACTTCCCCACACTCCCCTTCCTCTGTCTTCAGATAGGAAAGCAAGGAGTTGCTAATGGTTCTTTTCCTGAGGTGTGGCCAGAGATGCTTCCTGGCCCAAAGTCCCAGCCCAGACCTCTTGCCCCCAGGACTTAGAACTCACAGGAGTGTGGGTGCCACCAGGGAGGGAAGAGGAAACGGTGCAAAGGACTATGCCAAGAACGTTCTGCTCGCCAAGGTCCTGCTGGCAGGGATGCGTGGAAATGGATCTGCCTTGCCAGGTGCAAGGCCAGCACAGCTAGGGTGCCCTGGGAAAGACAGCACATCAGGGACACAGTCCCTACCAGTCAGTGACTTCAGATGCAGTCAGCTCAATCTTACTTCTTCCAGAAGCCTTTCCTGACTCAGGTGGGACAGCTCCCCCGCCACACACTCTCACAACACCTGACCTTCTCTGCTCTTCATGTGCCTCTCTACAATTCCTCATCTAAGGACTGTGGTCCCTGTTCATCTCTAAGCCCAAGAAATGCAGTGACCACACATGTGCTGCTCACCAATGTATCCCTGGGTGACCAGCACGGTGCTAAGCTATAGTAGGAGCCTAATAAGTGCACACTGAACAAAGGCATCAGATGATGCTAAGCAAGCAAAAAAGATGCTGTGGTAAGTTGGGGCTTAGCCACAAATGCAAGGACAAGTCTGAGTTCCCCACGAGGCTCACTCTCCAATCTGTCCCAGCCCTTCCTTCCCCTCAGTCAAGTCACCCTACCAGGTAGGGACTTGTTGAAGGGGTTTCTTCTCTGACAGGTCAAAAAAGACCTGATACACCTTCTATCTTAGTGACTGGTTTTCCCTCTCTTCCTGTGTTGTACTCAGGGAGGGATGTCCCAATATTTATTTGTTAGGCAGGCACTATGTACCACAGCAAATAAGACAGATAGTCTCCATCCTCATGAAGTCTATATCTTGTGTTGAGAGAGAAATAGAAAACCCAAGTACACCAAGAAATAAATATGGTAACTAGCAATTATGCTAATCTCCAAGAAGGAAACAAACCAGGAGATTATACAGAGCATAAGAGGGACAAGTCAGGAAAAGCCTCCCCGTGTGGATGACAGGGGAGCTAAGGTCAGAGGAAGACAAGGCACCAGCATTGTGAAGAACAGGGACAATAGCCATGGCACTGGGGAAAGCTTGTGTGTAGGCCCTTTCAGATGGGCAGTAGTTACAGAGCCCAGAGATGGTATCAGTACCTCTGGAGCCCAGTTCTCAGCTAAAAGGAATCGCGTGTGGGACTGTCCTGGGGCTCAGACCTTTGGCAAAATACAAAAATACTCCCCTCTTCAGGGTATGTTATGACTCTAGTCCACAGATACCCAGAGAGCAGTGACCCTGTTGTGGCGGCATCCCAAGCTCAGCTCTACTGATGACACCAATTTGTAGGTAAGAAAAGTGAGGTTCTGAGGGGTCAAGTCACTTGTGCAAAGTACATAGTGTGAAAGTAGCAGGCATGAGATGTGACATACATGGGAGTGTTGTGTGTGTGTCAACTTTATTCCAATACCTTACACGCAGAAGCTCTATATGGAACTTTGCCTGCAAGTAAAGACTCGGCCCTATTAGACCTAGTGTTTGCAACTGGGCATCTGACCTTATGGTATGGATCAGATTCAACAAATGTTTATTGAGCAGCTATTATGGATTAGCTATTATGCATGTATTAGGTGCTTCTACAAGTGATAAAACCTGAACTCCGGCATTCAGTTCCTTCATTTAACAGTTGTGGGAACTTAAGCATGTCATCTAACATTTCAAAGTCTGAGTTTCTTCTTGTAAAAAATGGAGATTACATTTCCCTTGAAGAGCTCTGTAAGTACCAAACAAGATAATGTTTATATTAGTAATGCTATTTTATCAGCTATTTATGAGTACTTATCATATATTCCATAAAAACAAGAATTGTATCTATCTTTTTCTCTTCCATGTCCCTATTGCCTAGTAAAAATGCCTGGCACAGAGAAGGTGTTAAACAAATGTTTACTGAATGAAATGAGGAATAAATACACATCAAGGGTTAGAGTGCCCATATCTCCATGAATATGTTCCAGTGCCACAGGCTCCTCACTGTGTAGGCACAGTGATGGCCTTGCCCTATTTCTAGACTAGGCTATTCCATTCAGAATCACTGTCACCATATGAAGGTAAAGGACAGGTTGGGAAGGCTTACCCATGAGATGACATCCCACAGGGTGTTCGGGGAAACACGTGCAGACATCCACTGGAAGGCATCCTTCCATCCATGGGACTTCGGGTCCCTGCTCCTGCCTGGGCCTGACCTACATGATGCAATCAGAATGGCTATTCAGTTCCATCTAAAATGGGGCAAAGGGAAACTGGGGGAGAACACAGGTGGTGGAATGGCAGTGTCTCACCTGTCAGAGTTGGACACAGGCACCAGCAAGGTGGAGGGGGTTGCCTGAGGCCCATCTGGACTGGTGGCTTGGGGGTCACCCCCCGGAGATCAGGTCCCAGCAGACGGGGAAGAGCTGTGCAGAACCACAAGGATCAGTCACTTTAACAGGAACAGGCCTGAGGCAAAGGTAGCCCTAACAATCTTCCCCCCCTAACTGCAAGAAAGCCTTACCCCGGGAAACCAGGAATCACTGGCATTTGCCTGTGCAGTGGTTTTATTATTTTTATTTGTTTTCGCAGTGCTGGGGATCGAACCCAGAGCCTTCTACATTCGAGACAAGCACTCTACCACTGTGCCACACCCCCAGCCCCTGCAGTGGTTCTTAAGCAAGGGTACACTTGTTTAAGTGGCTATTCCAGACCAATAAAACAGCAGTTAGGATGCCCCGTATGAGTGACAACCTTTGCTGGACAACCACACATCCCCCAACATACGGCGCGCAGCCCCTAAATCCCTTCCCCCTCACCAGCTTCTACGCCCTGGCCTCCAGTCCCTGCGTTGACGACTCCTCTTCCTGGCGCCCCACCTTCTTCTCACGTTGCCCCCCACTATATCTCAAATTCCAATGGCTCTTCTTGGCTGTAGCCCGCCTTTCTCAACTCTAGCCCCGCCACCGTTGCTTCGGCGGTTGTCCCGCGCCGCCCCGCCTCCACTTCACAGTCTCTGCGGCCTCCAGACGCTCGCGGTTCAGATGCTCCTTACCTCGGCCCAGGAGTCCCGTCAGACGCCACATGCCGGGGCCGGCACCACCGAGCGCTCGCCGCTGAAAAAGCAAGGCCACACCACGGGACAGCAGTTTAGCGCGGCCGCGGCTCCGTACGAGAGTGGCCGGCCGAGTCCTACGCAAGCCCTCAGCCAGCCAATTAGCGAGGAGCGCAACCGGAAGGACGCGCTCAGCGAGAGGAAGTGGAGCGGGGGCGGGGGGGCGATTTGCGGTTAGCGGGGAGGAGGGCGCGACAAGGACAGTGGGCTGTGGGCCTAGCAAGAGCATCCTTTGCCGCCCCTACCGGAGCGGGGAGAGCGCGCCGAGCCAGCAACCGCAGGTGGCGAAGCCGAGCCCCGCAGAGCAGAACCTTGGAGAAATCAGGCTGGAGCAGCTTCGGTAGAGCAAGAGGACCCTGCAGACAGACCCCGTAGAGCCGCCCAAGGGGAACAGGCTGCCCAAGCCCCGAGGCTTTGGGGGGGGCGGGGGGCGATGTATCCAGGCTCAGTGGGCGCCCGAGGCCACCTGATCGGCTGTAGGCCTGAAGAAAAGCAAGTCAGATGAAATGATCAAACAATCACAACAGGTTCTTCCCGGTCTGACAGGCTGAGACCTTGAGTTCCTTTCAGACTACCTAAAAGGATTCGCATGTTCTTTTAATCACAGCCCTCGTGTGCAGACTCAGCCAATGTTATTTTTTGTAGGGGAGGAAAAAAAAAAAAGTCACCCTTTCACCACACAAGAGTCCATACAATAGAACTCACATTTAAATGTAAGATGTTCAGACTTCCTCTCCTCTTGCCCCAGATCTGTGCATTTTAATAGGGATGCAGTTCTCTATCTGGGGTAAAGGTGTACATTTAGACCCAGGCATGTGGTGTGAAACTTTTGTTAAGCAATTTTTGAGCCATATGTCAGCCCCCATCCTAAGATCTGAGAAGTCAGGTGGATAAAGAACACTTGTGGACTCCAGAAATTCATGGTCCAGTAGTTTTAAGAGTGGATTCTAGTACCATACATCTGGATTTAAACCCAGTTTTCTAATTTCCTAGGGTCCCTAATCACACCAAGCCCTTCTAATAAAATGGGGAAAATAATACCTCATGTAATTGTGAGCCTTGAATAAAATAATACGTTACAAATATTTAGCATAGGGCTGGAGGTGTGACTCAAGTGGTAGAACGCCTGCCTAACAAGCATGAGGCCCCTGGTTCAAGCCCCAGGTCCACCACCAAAAAACAAAAACAAAAACAAATGTTTTTGCATAGTTCCTGGCACATAGTAAGAGCTCAATAAATGTAAATTACCATTAATTACAATGGTGGTGGAGGTGAGTAGACAAATGGAATAGATAATGTTCTAACAGCACATGAGCACTTAGAGGATATACCATGGAAGGATGGAAATGGTTGCATTTAAGCTGGGCCTTTAGATGTGAGTAAACTTTCACGTAGAGAAGGGAGAAAGGCATTGAAAGCAGAAGAAACTAAATAAAAGCCCGGGAGTTTGAATGTTGGGGAGCTATTGAGAAGTATCCTTGCTTTGTGATTTGAAACAGTCACCTTACACATTTCTTGTGTTGCTGCCTCAAAATAAGTGTGCTGGTTTGGCTCTGTCCCTCCTGGGACTTCCATACCTTTCTTCCTCTCAGCCTGTTAGTTGGCTTCCTTCTTCAAGACTCTGCTCACAGCTTTTCAACTGCTTGAGCCCTCACTGTTCTCCAATCCCTGAAGTGCCTAATTTTTTACTGCACAGTTTAGCAGTAATTATATGTTATCCTGTTATTCCATTATCTCATTTGTGTAAGTCTAGTCTCCCCAGTTCTCTCCCTTAGGACAGGGATGGCATTTTCCCATATTGTGCCTCATACAGGGCTTGACATAAACTGTGTCAGCCCACAGAGTATATTCAAAATGCCTGTTGGACTTGACAGTACCCCTTGTACTGATGGTGATGACAGCTAAGAGCACCAGACCCCAATTATGGGATTTACTGATTTAAGTGGAGATGTATTCACTCCACATATATTTATTGAGGGCCCTCCCTATTTGAAGCTAGTTGAAAGGTTTTGAAGGAGAGGATATGGTTCCTGTCTCCATGTAAAAAACGATACTATGATTGGGCATGGTGGCCCATGTTTGTAATCCCAGCATTTGGGAGGCATAGGCAGAGGTATTAAAAGCTCAAGGCCAGCCTGGGCTGCATAGTGAGACTTTATCTCAACAATAACAAAACTGTTAATTATGGCATCTCTTGTCACCAGAAGTCTGAGAACATCAATAGACCACTTGAGTGAGCAGTAGATGGTGAGGACAGCTGGAATCATTGCCACGCCAGGTCACCTGTTCAGTATGCCCCGCCAGAGCACTGTCAGAAAGGTAGCCTTAACTGCCCAGGCTCCAAACCATCAGCCGTTCTCTTCTCCTGTTCCAAGTTCTGTGTTGTAGGATTGTGGCCCCAAGTCAAGTTGATTCAATCCCTCTACAAAGGTAAGCTGCCTTACAGTGTATACCTATTGTCCAAGTACTCAGTTCATGGCCTCTTGTGATATGTTCACATGTCATTGTGTACCTACACAGTGAGTGTTCCAGACATTTGTTGTTGCTTTCATCTTCATAGACACTCTTAATTTGCATTAATCAAACATACGACACCTTATTCAATGCTAGAAAATGTTCTGAGTATATAACGACTTAAAAATAGATGTGCTCCCTGCCCTCACAGAGGCAACTGTATCAAGGCAAACAAAGTCAGTAGGCAGGGCTGGAGGCATGGCTCAAGAGGTGGAGTGCCTGCCTAGCAAGCTCAAGGTCCTGAGTTCAAACCCTAGCACCATAAAAAAAAAAAAAACTTTTAGCACATATGAATAATAAAAGAAAAATGAAAAAAAAGCAAAAAAACAAAAAAAAAAACAAAGTCAGTAGGCAATTAAAATACAGAATAGTATTTTTGTTATTGATTGCGGCATAACGAATACTCTAAAATTTAGTGGCTTAAAACAATCATTATCTCTCACAGGTTTGCAAATTGACTGGGCTCAACTGAGTAATTCTGTTGGCCTCACTTGGGGTCTCCTATGAGGTTGCAATCAGGTGGCAGCTGAGCAGGAATCACCTGAAGACAACCCGGGCACTGGAAAAGTGGGCCTTTTCTTCATGTGTCTCAGGCCTTCTTGTTCCACATTGCCTCTCCAGCTGGGTAGCTGAACTTCTTGCATTGTGGCTCAGAGCTTCCAAAAATACAAAAGTGGAAGCTGCTGGGTTTTATGCCTGGAACCCACACACCATTGCTGCTCCTGCACTCTGTTGGTTAAAGCAGGTTGCAAGACCAGCCCAGAATCAGTGTATGAGGGGAAGAAAAGGTCGTGAATACTGGAAAGTGTGGTTCTTTGGAGACCAACAATTTTGACAGTGGGGAATGTACCAGGTGCTAGGGGAACACCCCAGGGGAGACCCGTACCCCAGCATGGAATTACTTGGAAGTAGCAGTATCCAAACCGACTAAATTGAATGATGAGGACTGGAAACTAGGCAGGGGATGAAGAGGAAAGGACCATCAGGCAGGGGGAAATGCTGGTGTAAAGTCCCAGGGAGGTGATGACTGCACAATTTAAGATCATTGTAGATACAGAAGGGGAGGGGCTGGAGAAGGCAGAGAATATTGATAGGCCTTTAGCCTGGAGAGATAAATGGGGCCAGGTCATACAGCCTCATAAGCTCTGATGATGTCTGGACTCTATCTACTGGCAAGGAATACCTAGGAAGAGTTTTGGTAGGGAAGTGACCAGGCCAGAGGATCCAAGACAGGCCATTGGCTACTGCGGGATAGACTGGGGAAGGTCAAGTCCTGATTTTCACTCTGTCTCTTCTAGGCCAGTGACATCACTTTCATCACTGAGAAAGCTGAGTGATTGCCTCAGCACTGATACCAGTTCTTTTTGCTTTTTATTAGGGGGAATTTTTGTTATAAAACAATGCAAGCTCTCCTGTACAAATGTTTTGTTTTGTTTCATTTATTAAAAAAAAAAAAAAGTTGCAGAAAACCTGCCTGGTAGGGATCTGGACATGAGGTTGGTCAGGTGGTCAAACAATTTATACTTAAGGGTGAAGTGTGTTAAGGAAGACACGCTGGCAGGGAGCATGCCAAGCTCAGTGGATCTGACCCCTCAGATAAACAGATAAATGAAATTGAAATTATCTTTTCATTACCAATGAGCAAATAATGCAGGGAAGGGCAGAGAAGATCACTTCCTACTGTAGTAAGAAGTCAAACAGTACTAAAGGTTTATTCCAAAAAGCAGCAGACCTCTGCTACACACTCTCTACCTTAGTCCTGCTCCCTAGAGACGACCATTTGCAACTGTTTGAAGTGTCAGCAAGCAGCACAGAAGAGCAAGGGCTCTGGAATTGGCTGTCTGGCATCCAACACAGCTCTTCTACTGACCAGCCAGGTTGGTCAAGTTAATGATAATATCTTTTCCCTCATTTTTCTCATCTATAACATGGTAATCATAACCTTCTCATGAGATAAGACAGGCCATTGGATGCCTCTGGATTTCTCCTGACCTGCACAGTGACACATTAATAGTCAATGAATAGTAGGTACATATGATGAAGAAGGATCTAACTTGAAAGCTGTGGTACAGTTGGACATTTGTCTCACACTATACAAATAAATGTAAGGGATGGTTATGGTTTACAGGAAATGACAAAAACAGACTCAGTTAGAGAGGTCTGACTTTTTCCTTTGTTCTAAGGCCAAATTGTTTGTTCTCAGTCCCATTCCCTTCCTGTTTCTCCTCAACCCCCTGCCACTATAATTATCCTGATTCTCATGTCAAGGCACACTCTCTTTACTAGGTTTGTTTTTTTTTTTTTCCTCTGCCTATGAAATCTGCATAGGCCTTTCCTATCTTGGGGGTAAAGTCTTTTGCTTGGTTCTTCAGCCTTTAAGCTACCATTCTGTTTCTTTCTGTCTACAGCCATATATTTTAATTAACATATCTGCTGCCTCCCATTTCTGCTCCCTCAGCCTGCTTTCCAGCTTCCATTCTTTCTGCTGCAGGGTCACTAGAGGCACTAAAGCCACCTCATTAAACACTGTGGGGAGGGGTG